TTTTTCGGGGACAGTCCCCGGTTTTGGTGACCTGTGTGTTAATCATGGACTGTATAAGATTTTAACCTTTTTAGATACAGTCTATGGTGTTGACAGACCTGAAATCAGAGAACTGGACAGCAGGGCACACCGCAGCATGTTAAAGCCAACCCGATCGCCCAATCTGTACACGACTACAGTTGCACTGGATCAAACAGAAATAACGTGCAAATAAACATCACTTTATGTCCTCAGGTAACAGCAAAGGTTTGTCTTTGTGACGCTTCACTTTTCTTTTAACTGAATAATCACAATTGTTGCTAAAGAAGTGTTTGCAGTTTATAACGTAACCAGGCCGGACATTTACGTAATCATTGGTAATAACAGAAGCCTGTTGTTGCAGATGGATTGTGTGTTTGGTGGGCGTATGTCTAATATCCTTGTTTATATTGGAAAACGGAATGTAGCCTATAATAAACATGACTTACTGCTGAGTTATATAAAATAAAGACATGATCTCTTTTGCAATTATCCTTATGACTTAAAATACCTTTAAATGGCCAAAAACCCATGTACTGCAGTATTTCACTTTCCTGAAAGTGATTGCAGCTTCCCCAAAATGACTTGATTATATTCATGAGGGTTATATTTGATAGATTATAAAACCGAAACCGTCCCCCTTTTTTTCATTTCATATGTAATAACATATTTTTAAATGACACACTGACCACCAAACCAAAAATGTCCCCGGTTTTCATTTCAGTAATCTGATCACCTATATGAAATGCTAAAAAGGCTACCTAAAATGCTAACATAAACACTAAAAATGCAAAAAAACACAAATTACTGCCAACACTTGCTAGCTAACGCTAACAATGCTACTAAAACAAAAAAACTGACATTGGCTTTTTGTTTCATACGGGGAACAAACTAATCATCCAACCATCCACCGTGCCTATCGCCTCCAAAATAGGAATTTCTGGTAGATATATTTTGAGTTGGGTGCGGCGCTTACTGTCGCTCAGGGGTGTGGCGGAGCGAGGGGCGTGAGCGAGGGGCGGTCGTGAGCGGTGCTGCAGTCCGCAGCAGAATTATTGGTTGTTTTCCCTGAAATTCCATATTCACTTCGTCACACGGAGTTTGCTCAAAACTTAAAATTCGGTGGTTTTAAGTCCTACGACATATGTTGTGGTTTTCAGGTTGAGGACGGGCTGGCAGAGAGAAAGTGACTCACAACCTGACGACATCCCTCCCTCCTGGAATAATCTCCTTAGACTGATCTTCTCCTCTCTAGAGTGATGATCTTTCCTTTTCTCCTTTTTTTTGTCGTTGACACCTTTAAAATGTTAAACCCCATTACGTCAGCGAGGTCTCATTAGCATTTACTGACTTCCATCTAATTAAATTTTAATCATGCTGCAGTTGTCTGACAGTCGTTTAACGACTAAGTATCCACACTCAAGACCTGGAAGGTAATTTTTAGGAGGAGAGGAAGCAGCCAGAGGAACGCTGAGAGTTCAGAGAAAGGAATATTTATATCGAATATATTTTTAATCTGTGCACAAAAAACATGAATGAAAATATCATCAAAATTATACACATATTCTAAATGTTAATAAAACCTTAAGCTATTTAATGCTCGCTGTCAGCTGACCTCAGCAGAAGGCTTCATCACGCCGTCAGGAATCACATCAGGCAGGTTGATGCTTTACATGTGTGGCTGCTGCAGACAACACATAGAACAACGGGAGTAAAAAGAAGTTTCTGTAAATCCAGACTCTGCTCCGCTGCTGGTTTGTTTAACCAATCACGCACGGATTTTCATTAACAGTCAGGTGGTAATGTCTAACCTCTGTCCCCCATCAGTCACAGGTGGTCATTAAGCTCGCTGACCTCTGCTTAGTGTCGGGCGACATGTTAAACTGTTGATTATTACTCATGTGCATGCTCATATATGTACTAGTGATTACTTCTCTGTCCGGACATCAGGGCTCAGATGATGATGCACGATGTTGGGGTGACGGAACAAGACCAGAACTCTGAAATATATGAGTGGGGGAACCGGGGGGCCTTCCCCTGAAGATTTAAACACATCTGGAGACGTTTTCTGCACCAATTAATGGAAATGCTAAATGTGTTTGTATAACAGATTTCTATTCTTTCAAAGCACTTTACAATACACCACATCCACCACATCCCACATACATGATGATGAACAATATCAAATATCTTCAAAAATTCAAGTGGAAGGTGATAATTCATAATAAAAATATAACTAATTTAATGCAGTTTTAGCCTAAGTGCTTTTTGTGGACTTTTGTTTCTTCTATATTTACATGGCACTGCATTCAATTCAATTCAATTTATTTATATAGCGCCAAATCACAACAACAGTTATCTCACAGCGCTTTTCATAAAGAGCAGGTCTAGACCGTACTCTGTGATGTTATTTACAGAAGCCAACAGTTCCCACCAAGAGCAGCACTAGGAGACAGAGGCAAGGAAAAACTTCCTTTAAGAGGCAGAAACCTCGAGCAGAACCATGGCTCAGGGTGGGTGGCCATCTGCCTTGACCGGTTGGGGGTGAAGGAGAGAGAGAGAGAGAGAGAGAGAGAGCGAGAGATGTAAGGAGAGAGAGAGGGAGGGAGGCAGCCTAACAATATACACACAGAGGTACACACAGTGAAGGTAATGTTGCTATAGACTGAATGAAAAATGGTACAGATATTATAATAGTGTTAATGTTAACAGTCGTAATGTTAATGATTATATAACAATAATAACAATAAGACTAGCAACAATAGTCGTTGCAGCAGAGGGTGTCGAGCAGGAACACGGGGGCAGCAGGTGACCCGCAACCACAGATCCAGACTCCACAGCTCCAGAGCCAGAAACACCTGCAGGAAGTGACAGGAGGAGAGAGGAGAGAGGAGAGAGAGAGAAGCACAAGACTACCAGAAAGGGGAGAAGTTGTGTTAGTAACATGCAATAATGGGATGAGGTTGCATACAGAGGGAGAGAAAGTAGAGGAGAGAG